CTTTGGGAAGAAAAGGAAGTTGTCTCCGCGATTTGTCAATCCTTTCATGATGACGGATCGAGTTGGAGCTGTAGCTTGTTAGTTAGCACTTCCGGATAATTTGGACCGCGTACACAATGTATTTCATGTTCCCATGTTGCAGAAATTTCTACGGGATCAGGATCGGTATCAGCGTATCGATATTAGGGGAGATTGAGTTGCAGCCGGATGCAACTTATTTGTAGCCACCGTGTCGTATTATCGACCATCGGGATCAAGTCCTTAGTAATAAGGTTATCCTTTTGGTACGTGTTCAGTGGAGTCATCACAATGAGGCTGAGTCTACTTGGGAATGGGAGGATGTTGTTCGCTCGCAGTTTCCAGAAATCTTGAAAGAAGGTAAGAGCGAATTCCGAGAACGGAATTCCTTTTGTTAGGGTGGAAGAATGTAATGCCCCTAATTTTACAAAGGATAGTCCTGGTATTTCATTAATTGTTTAATTGTTTGTTTGTGTGAATTAATTGTTATTATTTGACTTATTTACATTATTTGAATTAGATTGTGATTATGTGAATTAGGTGGATTAAATTGCCTGCTTTTATTTTTATTTTTTTTAATGGAATTATTTGCATTGGTTTATTTAAATTATTAGTTGTATTAATTATTTTTTTTTCTGTTTTAACTTAGGTAGCATGGATTAAATTGTCTTCTTTTATTTTTATTTTTTTTAATGGAATTATTGGCATTGGTTTATTTAAATTACTAGTTGTATTAATTGTTTTTTTTTTTTTCTGTTTTAACTTAGGTAGTAATTACTATAATTCTAGTGGTGTTAAAGTTAAGTTAGTATTCTTTTTAGGTTACAGCTATACTTTTGGATTACAATTCATGTATAGTTTCACGGGCCGACTAGGTTTGGACTTAAGGCTTAGTTTCTAATTGCACATGAACTAGGGTTATGGTTTTCACCTATAAATATACGCAGTACTGTGGTCTAGGGTTTTAGAAATATAAACGTAAATTCTGTAAAACAGAGATACAGAGAGGTACTGAGAAAAACAGAGGAAGATAAAGAGAGGAGGGCTAGGTTTTGGTCTAGACCAAGGTTGGACCAAGAAGGAGGAAGGAGAGGTTGTTCGTGGGTGAAACCAAGAGCAACAGAGGGGGAACAATAGTTCGGAATCTTGTCGGAAAATTCAGAGACGACAGTTTAGAGTTTCAAACTGAAACTCAAAAGCAAGTCTTTGTTCTTCTCTTTCCCTTAAACTTGTGATATGTGCATGCTTAGATGGACTCCAGGAGTTTAATGAATGCTTAAACAATCTATTATGCATGTTTAAATTGATAATTAATCTCGTTGAATGAAACTGATATACCAAAATTCTTTAGGTTTCTGTTAGTTGATTTCTTCTATAAACATTTTTAATTCTTGCTTATTTGAGATCAACAATTCATATGGTTGCCTAGTAATTAATTTAGAATGTTAAATGTACACTGGAATAAGAATTTAAACCCATTACAGAGGCTTGGAGATCACCGGAGTCGAAGGAGACAAGGTGAAAACAGACGACGGCTGCCAATGGAGGGAGAGCAGGCCCCAAAACCCTTGGAGCCAGCTCCCAAAGAAGTCCAGCTGGCTCTTGGTGCCTTGGAGCCAGCTCTTAAGGTCCTAGAGCCGGCTCTAGGTGAATTAGAGCAGGCTCCAATTTTTAAAAGAGCCTACTCTCACTTAAATGGTCCAGTTTTTTATTCTTAGGGGCTGTTTGGGCTATTCAGTATATCTGCGCTTCGTTTTAAATTGTTTAAGTAATGCCTAGGATTGTAATAGACTGGTATGATGATGTAAAAACATTATTTCATAATTGGACTAAGGTTTGGAACAAGTGGAAGTTAGGAAAAACTGTAAATTTCTCACTGTGTCAGAGATTTTAATTACTTGCGGATAGTTGAAGCTTTTGATATATATAATTTATTTCTGTTTAACTATAATTAAACAGCGTTACAGGTATAGTAAATTAGTGAAACCATCTATGCTTGGTTTGGAACAAAATTGATATGTATGTTGTATTAATTGTATCAATTTATGGAGTTTGTGGAGGATTTAAATGCTATATCTGGTGGTAGCAATTTAGATAGTTGGAATGTGATTTTTAGAATCTATAATGATTGTCTAATATCATGATATATGTATTAAACTGTATGATGCATATTCTGGATAGTAGAGATAAATAACAAATATTGTTTTAACAATTATGTTATGTGGAGGTTTGTACGCACCGGTATGGGATGGTGGCATACTAGGGATGGATTAGTAAAATACTAAATCCTACCTAACTTGGAGTAAGTTGGATTAATTATAAAAAGTTAAGTCCTACTTACATGGATGGATATGCACCGGTCTGGGACGGTGGCATAATAGGGACGGCTCAGTTCAAAACACTGAGACCTACCTATTTTAGAAACGGATTAGTCTAATACTAAGTCCTACCTATATGGAAATAAGATGGATTAATTACACAAGTTAAGTCCTACTTATAATTAGGTGTCAGGTCAATAAACCTTTTGAATGACACATCTGGAACGGATTTTATATATCTATATTATGGTGCCATGGTATGAGCTTGAGTCTCAGGACCATGGTTAGGGTGCGTATATCACCTAGGATGGATATCTGGACAGAGGTGTTGTTCCCTGATAGGTCTAGGTACACATGACCACATTATGTGCGATTTGTATGGTATCTCTACTCAGGCTGAGACAGACCTATTGGACTAGTGAGCATCATATAGTGTGTACTTATACATATGTGGACAACTCTAGATATTGTTGAGTCTATCTAATATGTATTTGCGTATAAGGTTTATGTATGGATCGTAGTATAATAGGACTTGCAGGTGGGCCTGACCCACTCTCTTATTTTTCAGGTGTTCGTCAATTTCAGGGTTAGAGCTTAGATGTGTAGAGCAGATACAGACATTCACTCCTCCGATTATCTAGGATTTCTTTCTTTATTTAGCTTTGGACTTGTTTCAGTTCTTTTCTCTATGGTTTGGGATTTTATTAGGAGTCCATGAGATGGATTTTTGAGTTGTAAATAAATGGAGGTTTTGGATTATGGGTTTTATAATAATAACCTTTAAGGATTTTGTAATTAGATTTCTTTTCAGCTATATTATTTATTTTTATTTTATTTTATTTTTTTTAAATTCAATTTTGTATTCCGTATTCGTTTTACATATTAATTGTTTGGTATCCCTCGAATCTGTACTCGAACTTGATCACCCGTGGCTCTAGAATCGAGGGGTATCACAAAAGGGCTGCCATGAGAGACATCATCGTTTTCTCATTCTTAATGTTGAAGGCGACTGATTTTGACAACGTCAATCTGACGATGCCAAGAGTCTTCCTATTAAGTAATTCATATTCTGCATCCTTTGTATCCTCAGGCTTCTCTCCCAAAAGTTGATACAGATTTTTTTGAAATAAGAGGTCTTCAATTTGTATCTTCCAGAAACTGAAGTTTGTGCCATCGAACTTCTCAATCATAGATGTGGATGTCTTATCTTATAATGCCATTACACCCTCTCGAACGGACAGATCTGATCGAAAGATTTTCGAAATTTCATCAAACATCTTTTTTGCCCTAGGTTCTCAACCAAAGGCTCTGATACCAGTTGTTGGAGTTGCATTGCACAATCAACCAAATTTGATTCCTGTTGTTGTGGCGGAAACGTAAAATAATAATGCACGCTGTTCGAGGAATAATTAAACAATCACAAAGAAAAAAAAAATCACACACAAGAACACAAGATATACGTGGCTCACCCAAATCTTAAGGCTACATCCATGGAGCACACCGAACAAATGAAGAATTACAAGGAGAATTATCTCTCAATTGCTCTCTCTTGTATGGCACAAATTTTTCTCTAATTTTCACACACTCTAAAATCTTATTAGAATTGATATTTATAGAGTCCCCAAACTTGTCCAACAAGAATTTGCCTTTTGTAGAATCCAAAACAATAAAAAAAGTTAAATCAGATTAGGAAACTGAATTTTCCCTAAACCAATAAGGAAGTTAAATCAGATTAGGAAACTGAATTTTTCCTAAACCAATAAGAAAGTTAAACCAGATCAAGAAACTGAATTTTCTCTAAAATTCAGCAGTGTTGAAGTTTCCATATAATTAAACATTCCTAAAAATTAATCAGACTCCACAAAACCATAACATTCTCCATCCATTTTCGCTTTGATTTATGTATATATATAAACCCAAAAGATTTGCAACTCTCTCTTGTAATCCATGTTTGATTGATTTTCTTTGCATTCAATTTCATTTGGTTGATATATGTGTGTAACTGTGTGTATATATGTGTAATTGGTGGTGGCCGTGGCCATGGTAATGATGGTGAAAATGGTTATTAATGAGTGCATATGGGTGTGAGACTAATGGCAATGGGTATTTTGGTCACTTAACATGGGTATTATGGGAAGTTAAGTCATTTTATACATTAAACAATTTTTTATTAAGTCAAATACAAAATCAAAGAGATAACAATATATTTTTATATGTAAAAAGTGATCTGACACATTTGTAAAGTAACTTTGAGATATAAATAATAAACGGAACAAATATTTATAACGTGATTGATACAAATTTTTAAAATATGTTTTAATGTTATATTTGATCAAATCTAATGTTAATGTGATTAATCTCATATAATATTTTATTTCACTAATTTGGACCACTCAATTAACATGTGTAGTACATTTATAGGTAGATTCTTAGTGACTTGAAGACAGGTCGACTTTTGCATCACGTGAATAACCTCGAAATCAATTGCATCACGTGAATAACCTCGAAAATCGTTAAACTATTGTGAAGCCAGCCAACCATTATTTACTTGAAGACAAATATTTTGAAAACCTTTTAAATGCATATGCTCTCAGTGAGACTCAGTACATGCCCTTATATATACCCTTCTAGTCTCATTGCCTAGACACATAGCAAAAATTAAAGATGAGGTTTTGGACTCCCATTCTCTTTGCCTTTGCCTCATTACTAGCTATATCAGCTGAACAATGTGGGAGCCAAGCTGGGGGTGCTCTATGCCCAAATGGGCTATGCTGCAGTAAACATGGTTATTGTGGCACCACAGATGACTACTGCGGAGATGGTTGCCAGAGCCAATGCACTGGTGGTCCAACTCCAAGTCCCCCCCCTCCAACCCCCCCTACCCCCTGTGGTGGCGATGACGACATTAGCTGCATCATCACCCCATCTCTTTTTGACGAAATGCTTGCATACCGGAATGATGCTAGATGTCCGAGTAATGGATTCTACCAATATGATGCTTTCATCACTGCTGCGAAATCTTTTGATGGATTTGGCACAACCGGAGATGCTGATACACGAAAAAGGGAGCTTGTAGCATTCTTGGGTCAAACATCTCATGAAACAACAGGTTAATTAGTTTAAATCACAACCCTTAAGTTGTTTACTGTGATTAAGATTAGTAAGGTCTTGTACATTTTTTTTTTTTTGGTAACTTACACATAGAGCCTAATTGTTTTTGGTGCAGGTGGGTGGGATGATGCACCAGGTGGTCGATATGCATGGGGATATTGCTACATTGAGGAAAGAGAGAAACCGCACATTCCCTGTGATGCGAGCTGGCCATGCAATCCCGATAAAGAGTACTATGGTCGAGGACCCATCCAGCTCACTCAGTATGTCTCCGAGAGTTCTCTAGCCAGCCTGGCACATTAATTCGACAACGATGATCATTTTATTTTGACACAAATATTACTTTATATTTACAAATAGGTCAGTTATTATATACTTTCTTGATTATATTTTTTTCCAGCAATTATAACTATGCACAAGCGGGTGAAGCCATTGGTGAGGATCTCATAAACAACCCGGAACTTGTAGCCAACAACTCAATCATATCATTCAGGACTGCCATCTGGTTTTGGATGACGCCACAGTATAACAAACCCTCAAGCCACAGTGTCATCACCGGAATATGGATACCGTCGAATGCAGACATAGCAGCAAATCGGGTCCCGGGTTACGGTGTGATCACCAACATAATCAATGGTGGGCTGGAGTGTGGCCATGGTCCTGATGATAGGGTGGAAAATCGGATTGGATTCTACAAGAGGTACTGTGACATAGTTGGGTTGAGCTATGGGGACAACTTGGATTGCAACAATCAAACGCCTTTTAGTTTGGGGTATGGAATTGATTACAAGAGTATTAGTAATATCTGAGTGCGTAAAATGATGGGATAGAGCATCCTATGCAACTATATAAATAAAGAGAATTTGAGAACAACTACTTATTGTGTTCTCTACTCTAGTATTAGAATTTGAAGTTTCTCTGTAAGTTTGTTTAACTCTTTATTGTAGTGAATCTCACGGACTCTATGGAGCATTTGTGTGTTATTACTTGTATTTTTATTTTAATATTTATTTATTTTTTTGTTAATTTTTTTGCAACAACAACTAACTATAAAATTCCAGAAATGCTTCGTTTCAATTCAGCTTGATTCCTAGAACTTGTCTTTAATAACCAATGAGCCATTAGCATAATGGGATAACATCTACTCGATCCCTCAAATGGGTGGTGATAGGTTCGAGCAATCTATGAACTTGTCTTCAATACACACTTTCTTGATGCAGAGCAAAATTCTAGACAGTGGTGAACAGATTGACAAGTCTGTTTTCAACCTAGAAGGAGTGTTTTTTGGGTGGAAAAAACCCACTAGCTTTAGCTTGTAGGCCATGAGAAAGACCGACTAAACTTCCATTTAGAACTCCGAAATCGCGTTTTATATTTATTAGTTTTATTCTTTCTCTATTTTTTCACAATTTTTAGATATGACTTATTTTTAGGCTTATTTCTAATACTGCTGCAGGTGCATTTAAGAAAACGATTGATTATACTTATCGGAAAGGGGAAAAAAACAGTGACTATAGGAGGCATTGGTCGTGTAGGTTCTAAAAAAACATGGAAATAGGGTCACTTTTTGTGAGATTGAGAAGGTGAGATGAGGGGGGCCTATAGGGGTTTCAGCTGCTTGGATTTGAATTAAACTTGAGAAGTTTTATGTGTGATGTGATTTGAATCTTTCTCTTCTTTTTTATTTTATTTTTATTTTTTTTCTGTTTTTCAAAATCCCTATTGACTAAGTTCTTGGTTAATAACCTAATTTTCTTCTCTGTTTGAATCATTAATAATAATAATAAAAACGATGCATAAAATAATGTTACTCTGGTTTACCCCAAGAAAAGGAATCTTAGAACTTGATCAACATCAAAGGGTTTATAAGCATTAACTATGGTAAAATTCTATCCACAAGCTGAAAATTCAATGACTCATCCAAATCAATGTGTGTTACAATAATGACGACACGCAGATAACAAATCATTCTTGGATGCATATAATATTAACTTTCTTTTTGTTTATGTGCCTTCGATCCTAAGCATGCTTTGAAAATTCGTGCATTCATATAATATTCACTTTTTTCTTGTACAAAATGAGATACCCTAAACAGGCCACGTCTATGGAGATGAAACAGCTTCAATTTTTTAAGTAGCAGCAGAGGGTAATGTGGCAGTAGTGGAGTAATGCAGGTGAGGCAAAAAGCTAGGGAGGTGACTCATTGACAATTTGTATAACAAATATATAATACTTGTTAGGTTGTCAGCCCTAGTCACAACTGATGTAGTTTAATTATAAATGCATAAATAATTTGTAATTATAAAATAAAGAAATTAATAAATAAGAAAATCATAAAGGGTGATTGAATTTATTTCAAAATAAGTTATTGTCCTTGATATCATTATTTACATTGTATGAAATTTATAGATTATATCAATTTATTTATATAGAAAAAAAAAACCGGGAGGACATCATCTCTAAATAAGTTATTGTCCTTGATATCATTATTTACATTATATGAAATTTATAGATTATATCAATTTATATATATATATATATATATATATATATATATATATAATAAAATAAAAAATAAAAATAAAAATCTGGGAGGACATCATCTCTTAACAGGGCGGGTATGGATTGTGAAATTAAAACCAATCATAGGTATGGAACAGGTATGAATTTGTCCATAATTAAACGGAACGAGTATGAATTTAGACAAACTCGCTCCATACCCTCCCCATTAACATCTGATGCTCCCTATGTTGTTGTTTAGCATTTGAACTTCTGTATGGACTGGACCCTTGTTGTGGTTTTTGTGTTAAGCTTTTCGCCTTGGGCCTTACCTTTTATGGGCAGACCGTATAGGTTGTGTCCTCTTTTGTATTCGGTCACTCCTATGTAAGCTCTGTGTTGGTGCATGCTCTGTCCAATGGGCTGGTTCCTTTGTTTTATGTTTTGGGCCTGGGAAAGCCCCTTGTAATACTCTACAGTTTTTCCTTTTCAATTAAATTCTTACTTACCCAAAGGAATATATATTTACTTTCTCATGTGGTTGATACAAGAAACTTGACAATGTGAGAAAATAAAACTCGACCACGCACATGCGACTTTGGTTTTATCACTGTTATGAAATTTGGAGCATGAACATAAATACATTATTAATATGGAAGACAGGTCCTTCCAACAATTCTTGGTACTGGACAATCAATTGCGTAGCCACAATCGCCCCTAAAATCATATAATCCACAATTTGAAGATAAATATTTTAAACACTTGTACTCTTAATCTCATATATTATTCATATATACACTTGCGTTATTACCGTGTCGTTCTTATCAAATCAAAGTATAGACACGATTCATATCTTCAATCCAAAAAAACTGACAATTATAACTCGATCAAACTTGTTCTGACACCAAAATTTGTCAATATATAATATTATATCTCACAACTTGGACCACTAAATTAATATGTGTACTACATTTATGGGTAGGTTCTTAGGAACTTGAAGACAATCAATTGCATCATCAGTATGATCTTCCACTAGTTTGTAACTTTGTTGCTTACAATACTGACAACTCTTTGGAGTAGTTGCTTTAATTTTGTGAATAACTACAACCAAATCGGTGCAGTTTTTTTTTTTTTTTTGGATTGGGAATCTGAAGATGTCCTATTTTTGGTTTTTGTTTTCTATTTTTGTAGTTTAATTTGTTCATTGAGAGGGAGGCTATTTTGTATATTTTGATGGGTGGTGTTATATAAGACATTTATTTGTAACTTAATTTTTGCAAATTAGGTTCTAATTTGACAATCTGGTAAAAGAATGTACACAATCAATGTTTGTTGCATTTGTTAAAACCAATTTTTTTCACAATTATAATATTTGCTTAAAATTCCCCAAAAAAGAAAAAAACATTTTTTACAACTAGCTTCCACTCCTCTATTATATATATAGTCAACTAATTACGTATCATATAATCTCTCTTTAGTTCAAACAAACGCACTTACGCTTGTAATATTGTTCTTAACAAGGCTTAAAATATTTGACCTTTAATTGGTTGCGCTCGGTCACTCTCTATTTCTCTTTCCCTTCTAGAGCAGGGCCGACTCTGGGCATAGCGACCCAGACGGTCGCTAGGGCCTCCAATTTGGAAGGATCTCAAAATTTTAAATTTATTTATATAAATTATATTATAATTATTTTATAATATTATTAAAAACTAATCAGTATACAAATTTAATACTGAGCCTCAAAGGATTTTATATCCTAAAATAAATTTTTTTTTTCTTCTTTTTTTTCACTCTCCTTCCAATTTTTTTTTTTTAATTAGGAAAGATTGAGGTCGAAGAGGAAGAATTGGCAACTAGGTAGTGATGACAATGCTTGCATCCTGCGGGCGGAGGATAAGATTCATTCTCTACACTGACGTGGCCCAATGAGATGATGACAGGTGTCCAATATTAAAAATAATAATAAAACGTGGGCAATGCCCATTTTGTCCGGGTTCAACCCATTTCTCTTTTCTTTCTCATCACTCTTAATACCTAATATCTTCTCTCTCAGACCGCCTCAAACCCATTTTTACTTTCTTCTCTATCGCCACCACTAGATCTGACTCTCTCTCTCTCTCAAAATGGCAGGAAGAGGCAAGGGTAGAAAGGGTTAAACCCGTTTCTTACTCTCTTCTCTCTCTTTCTATCTCTCCTTCTATGGCCTCCCATCTGTCTCTGCAAATCTCCCAATTTTTCTACCACGCGTAAGCTCTCTCTCTCTCTCTTTATATATATATATATGTATGTATATATATAAACACACACAGATACACGCAATGATTCAGTGAAGTATATGTGATGCTATAATGTGTATATTTGTACTAAATTTGGACCTGCAACGTTTAAAATTTGAATCTACTGATATCTGATGAATGATCTGCAATTAGAATGATTTTTGAAAAAAATATGGTTTGAATTTTGATTTCTCATTAATTGATACTGGTTTGAATTTTGATTTCTCATGAAATTATGGTTCGAGGCCGGAGACGAGTTGCCTGATCAGCTCGTCCGAATTCTCCGTATCGTAGGCGACCAGGAGTCACCGGCTCTGAGACGAAGCATATAAGTTGAAGCTTGATTGACAATTCACAAATCCTTAAAAGCTCGTTGAGAACTCGCCAAATGGTTGAAGCTGGACTGACAATTCGATTCAAAGTGATTTGAGGTCTGTGAACAGAGTGATTCATATACAGAGCTCGAAAGAACAAATTTAGCACTATTGGTCCACTCCTGAGTTTCGTCATGTGTCACCATTATCAAAGTTTTCAATAACAAATGTAGAGAGAGAAATAGTGGAGTAAGTTGTAGAGTGAAGCTGAATTGTTCCGAAATATAGTGAGAGAAAACAGATGAAGAGATCTAGAGATAGAGTTTGAAATTGGAGAGGTGATATTGAAAACAACCCCACGCTTGACTTGAAAACTCTTTTACAATGAAAGAGAACACCTGGTTTGATATTACGTGTTTTGAATTGCTATAATTGTGATTCTGTCACTGTGATACCCCTCGATTCTATAGCCACGGGTGATCAAGTCCGAGCACAGATCAGAGGGATACCAGACAATCAATATGTAAACAAACAGGAATAAAAAAAACTGAATTAAGAATACATTAATAATACACTGAAAGAAATCTAAAAATAAGAATCCTCAAACTTTAAATAATAAATTAATATCATTTAAATCCTTCAAATCTGTACAACTCAGAAATCCATCTAATGGATCCCTAATAATTCCAACTAGTAAAACATTTACAGAATTAAAATCCAAAACCAAAATAAGAAAAAAAATCCTATGTAGTCGGAAGAGTGAGTGACTGTATCTACATCACCACGATCAAGCCCTAAGCCTGGTACTCATGAACACCTGGAAAAAAAAAAAAGGTGGGTTAGACCCACATGCAAGTTCCATCCTACTACAATCCGTACATAAACCCGATACGTAGATACATCCAAGATAGCTGGGTAATATCTAAAATAGTCCATA